GGCACCTTTGGATCCGCTCCCGCTTATACCGCCCCGGTTGCCGCCGCCGTGCCCAGTGCCCACAGAACTGCTGCTACCTGAGCCTCCACGCTCAGTGCTGTCCTCGTCGCTGCTGCTTCGCTCGACGCCACCTTGACTGCCGTGGTTGCGATCCCTCCACTTGGTAAACTTTTTACCGTGCTTATCCTGTGCATTGCCGGAACCGGTTGTCGCTGCATCGTGTCCGCCTTGTTCGCCTTGACCGCCGTGACCTCCCTGCCAGCGGTTCTTCTTCTCCAGACGGATGGCCTCACCCACACGTTGAAGATCAGCCAGATATTCAACCCGCGTCGTTGTCTTGGACAGTGCTGCACGTGACATGTATTCCGCCAATAAACCATTACGCAGTTTACTTATGACTGTTTCATCATCCATATCACGGTCATAACGGTAACATAAATCAACCATTTCATTATAAAAATCCTCCAGCGGTTGATCACGACGTTGCTTTAAATTACTGATTTGGATTTTTACTTGGTTCTTAAAATCCGCTGTTTGGAAACGCGCTGTTAGATTCTGCTTAAAATCATTCCATGTAGCGTATGGCTTCACGGTACCTTCTTTAGTAACACGATCCCACCAGATCGCTGCCGATGATGCCAACAACACTGATGCCTGCGCGATCCTCCGCTTGTCGTCCCAATCCTGCGCTAACGCAACGGTCTCGAAACGGCGGCACCAAGCGACCACATCCTCCTTTGCGTATCAAGAAAGCTTCACCAAGTTTCGTGACATACCGCCTTGAAGATTGTCCAGCTCCGCCGCCACTTCTCGCGAATTCAGCACCTGATCCGGCATTGTCAATGAAGGTGTAGTCGCTGATGACGTGGTCTCCGTTGACTGAACCGGCATCCAACGCTGTTGAATTGCAGCTAGTTGCACGATAACGCACTTACAGTATAGGACAACGCCAAAAATAATCCGGAATTCACAGATAACTCCACAAATCCGTTCAAATCAAAATGCACAATGCACGATGTACGCTCACAAAATCTGCCAGAACACAAGTCGGAAATTCACTGTAGAAATTACTCGTCGTCCTGACACACACACACACTGTTCAGCTTAAAGGTTAATGGATGAATCCAAACTCCTACGCCCTTTAAGACGGTTTCGGCACCATAATTATGATAGACTCGTAACCGTACACTGTGCAACAACTGGTTGTTAACGTTTTAATGATATAACGGATAACACAATGAACTCCAGATTCGGTGTAATGTAATGATCGTAATGATGATCCTGTGTAAAGCATTAACAAGCGATTATATATGACCGACAGGAATCACGTATCCTTCCACTCGGCTAAGCGAACATACTCGTAGACTAACACATACAGCGTACAGTAAACGCGCACTATGATAGCCTACGAGAACAACCATCGCCACATTCCCTATGTACACCATTGTAACAGTTCTCATCAAGAACATGCAAACATGACAACGCATAAGCAGCTGTGAATTAGACAAGCTAGGAATGGTGGGAATAAGTGATCCACGCGACTGGCGCCATCCTGTTACGGCGTCTGGCTGGCACGCGCCAACATACACGCGCACATCCGGCTAACCGGCACCGGCAGCATGCATGCGGCTTGCATTACTATATGCGACCTTGAGCTTACTTGAGGACAGGTGACTGTCAAACTGGATCCGCCAGGTCTCCAGTTTGATGACCTCTGGATCGAACTTCGCCAGGCGGGGCAATCCGGTAGAATCCGCTTCTTCTCCGGCCACATCCTGCCTGGTCTGCGTCACTGACGTACGGACAACGGTACTCGTACTACTACCATCCGTATTACCAGTGGTAGCCATTATTCCAGATTAAAAACTTTTAAAATTTGCTATCATCCTTCACGCCAATGTGAAGTATCTAATAATACTTTATTAGATGTGTACAGTAGGACGACTGATGATAGACTAAATATATAAGTAGGAAAACATACAGACATTCTTTCAGAGATACTGCAACGTTGCTAGGCTCATATAAAGTACTACAGTACTTTATAGTACATACACTACACTGCGTTAGTATGATAGAAAGCTCTCTAGGAAAGACGAATTCAGTCACGTTCCCTGCGTGTCGATTCTTCCCGTAAACCGCATGTACCGTGTACTGCTGCGTCTAGCAGGATACCGGGGATTGCCCATATGTAAAATTCATAGGATTAGGCATGCAATACTTGTAATTTTTTTATCAGAATATGGCACAATCTTTAATATACTTTTCTTGAAGATTGCTCACATTCGACTAACGGCAACAAGTACTGGTGGCAGCGGAGAGAAATCGACGTAAAAACAGGTTCCGTATGTTGCAGCATCAGTGTGCACAACCATTTATGGACTACTTTAATAGACATAGCCATCAAAATAATAAAAGTGCAAGGGCGGGCACATTAATTCGCAGTTACAAAAAGATTTACCTATAGATATGGCCCGCGTTCATCAGTGTGTATGGAATAACTCTGTTTTGCAAAAGGACGTCGACTCGTCGTGGCATAACATTGGTGACAATAAACGGGAGGAAGCACGCTTGAGAGCAATCAGCACTAAGTACGCAGGGGCCTGGCTGAGCGCTCTTCCCGCGAAAGTATTTGGCAATTTCTTGGACGACCAAACTTTCCGTACTTCTGTTGGTCTGTGGCTAGGCGCTAAGATCATAGAATGTCATTCATGTGTTAGATGTGGAAAAGACATAGCGGAAAATGGATACCATGGGCTTGCCTGTAAAAAGTGCATCGGAAGAAGGGAACGCCATAGCGGAAATAACGACATCATATTGCGAGCGTAATGCAATGCCGGCATTGAATCGTATCCGGAGCCTATTGGCTTTTTGCGCGAAAACGGTAAGCGTCCGGATGGAGCTACGCGCTGGAAATGGTATCGCGGACAGCCTTTAGTATGGGACGTGACCTGTAGAGACACGATGCCGGATTCGTACATCGACGCGACCTCAAAGTGCGCTGGCGCAGCTGCCGAACGGGCGTTCACTGAGAAGATGGGGAAATATAAGTCTCTCATGGATCGCTGTTATTTTGTCCCAGTTGCATGCGAGGCATTTGGAACGTTTTGTGAGGAAACAGTTGTCTTGTTAAAGGAGATTGGTAAGAAATTGTTTACGAGGACTGGCGAGATTCGTTCCACCTGTTTTTTGTTTCTACGTTTAAGCTTGGAAATAATGCGTGGCCGTGCTATGAGTGTTTTGTGTACAGTCCCATCTCATATTAATTGGGACAAATTCTTTATTTGAGTGTTTTTTATTGAGCGAAGCTTGCCAAGGTACATAATGCGATTAGAATCCAATAATAGAAAGACTCAGTAACTGGCAATACGCGCCTGAAGATCACACAACTTTTGTCATCCTGCAGACCGATATTTCTACGTTTTTTCATTACAAACAAAATTTTAACCAGCGATGAGTGCAACTCAAAAAATCCATTTATTAATTTATGTCTTGTATCCTCTGATTTCTGACTTAAATAATCTTGGTCACAGCTGAATTGAGGACCTTCTGTCATTTCGGTATAAGTAGCCAGATCCTTTTCCGAGCACTGGTTCATAATTCAAGTTAAAATTTTCTAACAGCATCGTCGAAAGATTGTAATATTGCGTCTCTGGGCATCCGCTGAAATCCTGCTAAGAGTTCAAATAAGAATAATTATCAGAGCATTTAAGAAAATATTCCCGCAAAGCTTCCGAATCCGCAGAACACTAACATAATAAGTTTCTTCGGTTTTCTACCAAAACAAGTGGCCCAAGACTAAGAATCGGTATCAAAAATACGCAGAATCAATACGAGCAGGATTACAATTGTTATGCTACTTAACCAAATTTTCACTAAGGTATTACATGTTTTGACCGAGAATCATCATGCCGCATTTGTCCAAGCTTACGCAAGCGCTGACGCCTTATAGAGAACTACTGGATACTGAGCCAGCACAACAACCAACATAGCGCAGCTAATAGCTTGGGCAAAGTATAGCCAAGCTTGTTGAGCCGGCGCCAGAGCAAAGTTAATAACGCACCCCGCTAAGGTTTCCGGTTTCCTGTACAGCAGCGCATCCACAACAACAACCGGAACGACAAGCAGATGAGCGGCAGTCCAGCATATGCCACACACCGCTACAGCGACACGCGTAGTGTGGCGTTGCCCAACGCCAAAACCAAATTTGAAAAACGATGGTGATGACCATCGTAAGACGGTATTCCACGGTATTGCAATAGTAGTTTTACACTTGTCTCAGCGACTGTGGTCGGAATACAACCGTAAACCGACCCATAGAAAATTTCCGAGGGTAGAACGATCGTTAGGACATTCATCGGTATTAACTACCGTAGTGAATTACGAGTGGTTACGACACTAGCAGCCCATCCGACGCAGCAACCGTAGTGGTAACCGATGGTGAAACGACCGTTGCTGGCGGATACGGTGGTCATCGCGGCTTGGCCTAGCCTGTAGTTACCTGACTAGTCTTGCTGGCGGTAAGGACGTAGTTATCACCATGCGGCGGTAGACATTGCTTTTTTCTCTCGGCCACGTTACCGGATCATAGCTAACAGGACTGTAACAACATTCGAGCTGCATGTGTTGAAATGTATTTCGAACTTGGCCTGAAAAAGTTTGGAATAGCTCGTAATGCTTCAAAAGACCCATACAGCTTGTCCCGGCTGGACTGGTGCCCAAAAATATTCCCGCGGACGGCGGACTGCGGCGGAGGTAAGAACTACTAAGAACTATGAGCTTAAGGTTACCTTTTCGAAGTACCTCAAACATTGTATTGTTTATCAAAGCATCTCAAATACTTTAAAATGCAGCAGAATATAATGCATGTTTCTGCAATGAACAAATGCGAGAATGAATAATTATCGCGTCATTGCAGTTATAGGATTAAAAATGCAAGTTTTCGGAGAACTGCATGGACTGAGTGCAGGCCGCAAGGTTTTGAACCGAGATGCCTTTTGTAGAGAATTTGGAAACGTTAACAGCCATCAACAGTCCTCGGCCAAAAGTTTCCAACAGGAAAGATTAAGATAAAGTCAAGTAAGATTTCCTTTATTGATTTTTTATGCTACGAATATGTAAGTGTGACCGTGACTGGTATAATTTGCAAAACCGAGTGAAGATTGCCATCATTTCTTCTATGTATCATGCAAGTAAAATATTCTTCAACGTATTATGCAAGTAAAATACTAGGATGGGTGCAATATTTTTCATCGGGTCGAAAAATTGTTATTGCCGATATTCTAAGACCTTAATTCTCTCCCAAACCATTGGATGACGTAAAGACTAAAGGAAGGCCCAAGCCTTGGTAAACAGAAATTTTGGTACGTGATATCTGCGACTTTATGGCTTATCTATCGTTGGAAGCTCCATATCTACAGTAACACGACGTCTCGGAAATGTCCGCAAGTGGCAAACGCTACTGATTTAATCTATTTCTTGCATATGAGTTTGTCTGCTACTTTTCGGAAATTACTCCCGAGTAATTCTTGGTCGTTGATGGGATGGAGGAACTACGGAAGCTCGTAGCGGAGCTGGAGACCGACACGAAATCTTCACAGACGAAGGGGATGAAACTCATCGCGCCCATACTGTACAAACTCATCGATGAAAATCAACAACTTCGTAAAAAAGTCGAAGCGCTGGAAGGGCAGCAGCTACGTCGGAGTGTGGATCAACTGAAAGATGATGTCACAACACTGGGGACTACCATGCAGCGAATTGTGGAAGAAGAACTGCCGGCGCTGGAAAACCGAGTTCATGAGACCGAATCCAAGATGGCAGCGAACCTTGCCGAACTGGAGCAGCCTGCAGCATATCGCCAGCCAACAATGCCTAAAGCGAGCAAGCCTGTGCGTTCAACTACCAATCCATCTAATGATCCTGAAATCGTCGAAATCAAGACTGACTGGGCAACCGTAACTCGTCGAAAGGTCATCAAGGGAAATCATCAGACTGGAGGAAATGACGATGCCAATCCACGACACAATCTGGCAAAAAAGCTAAGTTTGCAACGTAAAGCACATCTGGATGTATGCGTAATGGGTATTCCGCTACATAATAATGCGGGTTTTGAATCCACAGAGGAATATGCGAATGATCTAAAATCGTCACTGGGGGATTTGGGTGTAAACGTGCGCTTTGTTAAAGTATTTGAGCGTAAAGAAGGTGACAAGCGTAGTACTACTTGCGCGCGTATTGGTACTTTGCTGATTGCGAGGATGCCTTGATGACAGCAGATATATGGCCTACGAATGTATCGCTAAGGCGCTGGGAGTATAAACCACCTGCTCCGCAGGCGGGAAACGGGAAATCGCGAGTTTTTCATCGCAACCAGCGTTGAAAGACTCGCTAAGATGCGAAAAACTTGGGTTGGTTAAATCTGCAGCAAAATCTAAGCTGTCGGCGTTCACAACTGTTAAATTTAAACTTTGTAATGTTAACGGCATACTTTCCAAGTCCGCTTCCGTAAAACAGTTTTGTAGCGGTTCTGACATAGTTGGATTTACTGAAACTTGGGATAGATCTGAATACCCAGATTCGTTATTCGCTGATTTGAGAAGCTTCAACGTTTTTAGGCGACCCAGAAGTACTGATCCCCATGGTGGTGTGTGTTTTGTCGTTCGAAATAATTTAGATGCTGTAAGACGGACTGACCTGGAAAATAACGATCTTGAGTTGCTTTTTATTGAAATAACGAAAATAAATATTTTAGCTGCGGCATTTTATTCGGCGCCTTCTCGTGTGTCTCTAGATCTTCCAGTTTTGATCGAACATCTGAGGAATATCCCACATGCCAATTTTTCTAAACTGCTACTTGTTGGTGACTTTAATCTCCCCGATGTCGATTGGACTAAAAAGTGTGCTAGTAGTAAACAAAGTCGGGAATTTTTGAGGTGTTTGAAGGAATTTAATCTAAAGCAAATAATTGATTGCCCTACGCGTAAAAACAATATTCTTGACCTTTGCATTATTCCTTCCGTTTGGTCAGCAAGTGTCCCTGAAAGTATTTCCCCCCCGTCAACAACAAACGATCACAATGGTGTTTTCATAGAATTTCCTAGGCAGAAACGAAAAGAAACTAAAGTACTGAAAAAGCGTTGGGTAATTACGGATGAAGCTAGTTTACAGTTTCGTAACAGTTTGTACGAAATTGATTGGAATGCACTGCTACAAAACCGAGGTCCGGATGAGCAAGCTGTTTTGATTGAAAACGCGGTTCTTGAAGCAGCTAAGCTATTCTTTCAGCTAAAAGAGGTCAGGTGCAGGATGGCTGAATTCGAGTATCCTGAAAACTTGCGTAATGTGATACGAAGCCGGAACGCTGCATTTGACCGTTTTAAGCGTGAAATGAACATTTTGCGAAAGGAAAGATTGAGACAGGAATGGTTGAAAAAGTCTCGGTTAGCAGAGAGGCAGGTTAATGCTTATTACCGTATGCAAACAATAAAGGTCGCGGCTGTATCTCGGCACGACAGCAAAAAATTCTGGCGCTTCGTGAAATCTGCTGTAGATCGCCCAAATATGCCTTTACTGAAACGACCGAACGGTGTTTATGCTGCGGACGATTTAGAAAAGGCTGAATGTTTAAACGAACAATACGCCAGTGTGTTTGGCCAATGTCCAGTGCATTGTATGTCTGCTGCCTGTGTCACTGAAAATGTAACAGAAGCAAGCTTATTTGCTAGTGATAGCGACATTTGGGACGTCCTGCGAGCAATTAACTGCAATAAATCTAGCGGACCGTATGATCTCTCTTCGAACCTTCTTAAAGCTTGTGGCGCATCACTGATCCATCCCCTGGAAATTTTGTTCAATAATTGTTTGAAAAAATGCATGTTTCCCAAGTTATGGAAAACCTTTTTCGTAACTCCTGTCGTCAAGCAAGCTGCTGATCAGACCAACCCTGCAAACTGGCGCCCAGTGGCAATGTTACATCCTTTGTCGAAATTGTTTGAAAAATTTGTTTGTAAAATTTTGACAATGCAGATTGGTAATTTTACAGATAAACAATTTGTCTACCGCGAAAAACATTCTACTGAACTTTTGTTGAATTTGTTCTGGCAGAAATTAACAGATGCTAAAGGTCGTGGTAAACGTGTCGACATTATTCTGTTGGACTGCAGCAAAGCTTTTGATAAAGTTGATCACTCTATTCTACTTGAAAAATTGTCGAACATGAATGTTTCGTGTAACGTTGTAAACCTTATCAGTAGTTACTTATCAAACCGAGTGCAGTCGGTTGCTGTAAATGGCAAGAAATCTGTGTTTTTACCGGCTACAAGCGGAGTCCCTCAAGGGTCGCTTGTCGGTCCCAAGTTATTTAACTGTCTCCTTAGTGATTTTCCTGCTGTTTGTGTCCATGGCAGTGAAATGTTGCTGTTTGCTGATGACGTGATGATGTACAAGATAATCGAATCAGATGTGGATGCGCTAGATTTTCAAAAAGATTTGGATGCCGTCACTAAATGGGCGCGCAACCATAACTTGATTTTCAATGCGAAAAAGTCAGCATGTGTTCAGTTCTCGTTCAGAAAGAAAATATCTGAGCCCTATAAAGTAAACGGAGAAAGTGTCCCCATAGTTGATTCCGCCAAGTATTTGGGAATTTACGTAGAGCGCAGTTGCAAATGGAAACTGCAGTCTGAAAATGTGTCGTGTCGAATGTTAAAGCGTTTGCGTTACCTTAACACGTTATTTCGTTCCCGAGATTTGTCAGCACGTTGTACACTGTATACGAGCCTTGTTCTATCTATCTCTGATTACTGTGCTTCTGTCACCTTCTCTACTCAAAAAGGGCTAATCGATAGTGTGGAAAACGTTCAAAAAAGATTTATTGAGTCCCTTCATCTTAAAAGTGACCGGAAAGACTATATTGCCAGGTTAAAGGAGCTACAGTGGGAGCCGATCGTACGGCGCAATCTGAAGCACAGTCTTCAACTTACTTACAAATTTATGTACAACCTAATTCCTTATGGCGACAAGCTATTTCGTAAGCATACTGCTGTGCGTTCTGGTGTTGCAGGTGCGACGCGTCATCAACTGAGGATGGCTGCACATCCGTGCCCGATTGTCCCCACTGGATCAACGTTTAGCGGCCACATGCTTCCACCATCAGACCGATCATTTGCCTACCGGATGACGAGGATTTGGAATGACTTGCGGATTCCTGCGGAATCGTATCAAAGTTTTGGTAGATTTAGTGCCGCTTTAAATTGTGTCGATTGGAAGTCTGTAGTGTCTTTGAAGAAGTTTTACCACGCTGAGCACGTGTTGTTATTGAAAATGTGAAAATTTGTTTAATTATGACCATTTAATGTTTCTCGTTGTTTTTTTATGACGTGTCTACTGCCTCGGATTGGGCCTTAGCCCAGATTGTGTGTGGACGTTAAACCATTAAACTAACTAAAACTAACTAACTAACCGCTGCTGTTGCAGATATCCTGAATGCACCCCAGCGACTACGCATTGGCGGAGCCACCATACATCGCCATCGCGTGACGTCAGCTACGTTCTGTCACTGCAGTTGGTAATAGGTAATTAATTTTAATGACTGATTTGCGGCCATTTGCCCATGTTCGCTATGAAAATTGTACCAATATCTGATTTTTCATGGTTCCACCCAAGCTGACTTCAAATTTCTTTGTTACTGCACTCACTTTTCTATTATGCTGACGGGTTCACAGATAACTTAATACACTGAGGATGATGTAGTCTAATAATTACGGAACAATCATGAATTGCGGTCAAATGGTGAAAGATATTCTTAGGGTAACAGCAGGAGGTGTAATGTTTATCCTCTGCGCACAAAATATACGCGCCCATCGCTTGTACTAGGTCGATCGCACCAAGTGTGGGCAGTTGCAAAAAATAAATTTAAAAATAATTCTGTAAGTCGTTTTATTACTTTATTGGCATATTTCTAGTGCAATTTTTTATTGCGAATTCAGCAACATTAAAACCAATATCTTTTGATGTGCCAGTAGGGAGCCGCACCGTGTTTTAGGGGAAGGGGTACCAGTTAGTTGTTTTATGCTTATAACTACTCTTGGAAAAATACCACCGTTGAAGATTTCGGCATGGGATTTTTTGGAAGTTATTCACGGACCCACAAAGTGTTATTTACGGGCCAACGGAAAAATATTGCGTAATCAGTACTTAAGGTGATAGCGAAATAAGGTTCGTCGCCCATAGACTTGTATGTTATAAGGCGTCCACCTAGAAACATGGTTGCCTGGCATATGGATCCAGGTGACCTCAAACAGATAATTTCCTTGAGTCAGACATTGATTACGTTTGGTGATTTTAGAGCATAACCAGAAATCTACCGCACAGAGATATAGCTACAAGTGCCGGAACAATAAAAGAAAAAAACCAACAAGGCGATGGCAACAAATGTCGTCACTGCTGTTTGAATTTGTGTAAACATAATGTTTCGGGCCCCGAATGCAGATACCAAAGTTGAAATTGAAGCATAGGATCACTTGAACGAGATGTTATCAAAAATGGCTATTTGCGACCTTCCCCGACCGTACTGCGAGCGCTCAAGGGGGAGCGTCCTTCCTTTTGACGGTCCTTGCCGTCAAACTGCAAAGGTCACGCAGACTTAAGTGAAATCGACTGGTGCCACGTTTAGTTCACAAGAGTATTGGCTGGAACATAGTTTAAGGTTATCAAATTTGCTATGCGACATCTATAAAATTTTTAAGCAAATTTTGAGTGGGAGGGTGACTACCACGGAAGATGGGTCGAGCTTCCTTTTCAAACCTGTCGGCTTTGATTTTGATATCGCCGTCAATCGAAAGAAGCTCTCAGGGTAGCATGCCCAGGTGCAAAACATAGTAGACACATGCGGCAATCATGTTAAAATAAAATAATTGTTTATTTGTTGACGGTTGACCTTTAGTAATTTTTTTAAAAACTGCCCACACTTGGCGCGATCGACCTGTAAATCAACGCGCAGAATACCTTGCTTCTGCAATATTACTTACATAATTTATTGAGAAAAATCACTTACCTTACCGCACGCTATTATTTACTTAAATTAGCCGTTTTATATTTTATTGACGCTACCGTCTCTCGATACCCTGTGTCCAATGTTAATTTAATTGATCCCATTTTTTATTATTTTGCAGAAATGCGCCACGCAGAAACTCGGATGAAGCGTCGCAAAATGTCAGTCTCGCTTTCATCGGAAAATATTCCACTGACCCGGAGCAGTTTAAGCATTGCATTAGACATTATTCCTGTTTCTGTTTGCACTCAGAGTTCTAAAATTAATCATTTCCGTTTTCCTGGCTTACTGTTTTACCTCACTGACAGTGAGCCGAGATCTGGACTTTTATTTTACTTTGTATTTTTATCATTATTATTGTTAGCATTTTCTTGGTGAGCTGAGTAAATGTTAGAGTTCCAGTTGAAATAAAAATACTACCGTGTTACAATGGTTTTCGCCCACAGAAATATAAAATAGATATACCATTACCATAGTACGGACGACTGTATTCCCACCGTAGCATGTGTTTGCATCTCCACCGTATTTCTACGGTAGTTACATACCACAGTACGCCAACCTACTGTTTTAAATACGACGGTCTTACTACAGTTGACATAACCATGTTACTACGGTATTAACGAAGAATCCCCGAGTGTCGCTACAACGAAGAAAATCATGGTCGTATTTTCCTCGAACGACCGTCGTCTTGCAACACTCGTAATACCGTACTAACATACTGTAGTTCAAATTTGGCGTAGGGTGACGGTACTGAGTGGGAAATACCATGGCACCGAAACGGCTGATTGCGATGGCAACATTGAGCCAGATTGCCATGAAAGGAATGGCATTACTGGCGTACGTATAAAAAGCACACCAGCGCGCACCCCAGCACCAGACAGCGAATAGGTTATTGATCAAACAGACAGCTCCGTTCAGTGCAAAGATTAGAGCAGACAATGTGAGCGATACGATGGAGTATAATGACCAGGTCATTGGATTGGCGGCAGGACTACAAACGTCACTCGAGTAGTTGGTAGATGAGCTATTGTCAGTGATTGATATTGAGCTATTGTTAGTCACATTCATGATTCCGCTGGATCGGAAATGTATTAGCCTCAAATTTGAGAAATCAAGTGGCTGTACTTTCCCTGAAGTTTGGACCACTTCAACTACGATTTCAGAACAGTCGCGACAGGACTAAAAGATATCCCGGCGCTGTTTTTAAAATTTATATACAGTACATGTCTCACTGGATAGCGGCTGAAGATCGGCACTGCTTCGGCTTCACAGTTCACAAGCGTTTTTATGGATTTTTACACCACTCTAGTTAATCAGAAAGTCCGAGCGCGCGGTTGCTAAGTATTGACAGAAAATCGTTAATTATGTAGCGGACGTCTGGTATTGTACCGAAAGCCACGCGCTTGTATCTGTAACCTCCTGTTGGGAAAGTCATATGTGCGTCTGGCGATAGTTAGTTCGTAAATCTCTTTTGGTCTCAAGTTTCTGGACAGCAACAGAACACTGAAGAGGTATAAAACTATACGATCCTGTCTCGCAGGAATCAGAGCCGCATAAATGGTTTCAGTTTAAATTCTTTGCACCAGATACGTAGATAATCTACAGTATAAGTATGTGCAGAACGGAAATTACGTTGTACAGATCTGTATTTCAAGCTTGTACCTTTTTTGCGTATTTTCGCTCAGCTTCGTCGACAGCTGCAGCGCAGATACATTAATTTAACGACCATTACCTAGGAAATAGGGTCTTTATTACAATCAGGCACTGCAGGCACACGCCAAGGGCAATTTCTGAAACAGCGCTCAAAAGGTCAGAAATCTAAAAAACCTATGATCAATAGTAGCAGGACGTAAAACGCGTGCAGTCTGACATTAATCACCAGAGTCCACCTCGGTCTGGTTTTTTTGTTTCACTGCAGAAAAAGTACGTAGTTATCTGTCCATCACTGGCGTCGGCGAAACATTATCTGACGAAGGTCCGACAATGAGAACGCAAATATTACCGGATCGATCACTAACTGTAATTCGTATATAGTGTAAATCCAGAACATGACAACAGGGTCCTGCGAATCGGCATAGACGGGGAACACAACGAAGGAGGGAGTCCAGCAAATCAGAATACTAAGAGTTAAAACCGTTAACAGAAAAAATGCGTTGTTTTCCGGCTTTGCATGGGGCTTCTTCGGATGAGTCGCTGTCGAATCCGTCGCGTACGCTTGGTAGCCTAGAACGATGACTTAGCGAAACCACTCAACAATAAAAGTAACTAGATAATGTATTATGGGCTATGGCTGTCTTGACGCAACACTACATAAAGGTATTCTGTCGAACAGTCTACGAGGTATTCTGTCGCACACAGCGCCGGATTAGCTAATAGGTAATTCTACCGCAGTATACTTACGAAATAGCATTCTTTTGTAAACGCTGTTTTGTTCTGGTGCATAGTTTGTACTCGTACCATGATACTTATTAAAGGTTGTTAACAATCGAAATATCATTTAGGCTATCTCGTCACCGAACGTGTAGTAACCGTGCACTGGCTGCTCAACTTTGGTTAAATAGATTTCAAAAAAGTTTTAAAATCACTGAAAACGATGAACCAAAGCATGTAAATAAAACTGAGAATCGAAGGAATTTAGGAAATCTACGAAGCCTCAAAATGTAATTTTTCATCTAATATAATACCTATACAAATTCTAAGTCCTGTATCATCGCTGAAGCAAAAATATATGTACACAGCTTATTACGTGCTGCGGCGGCCTGGGTGCGCCAGAACAGTCAGTTATTTTGTTAGGTTGTTCTGTTATTGCGTGTTGCAGATACCGGTCTTTCGAGAATCGGTTAGCCGCATTTGTCCAGGTTTCCGCAAACGCTGCCGTCGGATGTAGAAAACCACTGGATATTGAGCCAGTACGATGCCCAGCGTTGCGAGGCTGATTGTTTGGCTAAAGTATAGCCAAGCTTGCTGGGCTGGCGCCAGTGTGAAATTGATATAGCATCCGGCTACTGTTTCCGGTCTCCGGTAGAGAAGCGCGTCCACAACGACAACTGGTACGACCAGCATATGAGCGGCACTCCAGCAGGTGCAGCACACCACAACAGCGACACGTGTAGTGTGGCATTGACGGTATCGTGTAGGAAATGTCACCGCCCAGAAGCGGCTGATAGCGATGGCTGCATGGAGGAAAATTTCCACGCAGGGAATGGCATTGCCGACGTAATTATAAAACGTACACCAGCCCGAACCCCAGCACCAAACAGCAAAGATGTTATTTATCACATCCAGCGGCCCAAAACACACTGGATACAGAAAATTAGCGAACAATATGGTGAAGACGTAAACATGAAAGTCCTTAATCAAGCGCCGGTTGCTGAGATAAAAGGTCAGCACGGCTCCATTCAATGCGAATATTAAAACAGATAGTGTCAGCGATAATATCGCGTTAAGTGACCAAGCCACTAGATTGGCGGCTGCGCTACAGATATCGCTGGAATAGTTGATAGTTGAGGTATTGTTACTATAATGTTATTGATTATTGTGAACCGGTAAAGGTAAGTTCGCCTTTAATTCGAGTAATTTCAATTAAATAGCTGCACTTCCACATGGACCAATTTGAAAACGGTTTCGGAACACTGAAGAGACCCCGGCGCTGTTTATAAGATATATATGCGATAACTGCCTTGCTGTGTAGCCGTACAAGATCGGCACTCCTGCGGCTTTGCAGTTCGCATCCATTTTTAACACCACTCCGGTTTCAAGAAGCCCGAGTGCGAGCTCGAATATTGACAGAAAATCGTTAATTATAGAGCGGATGTCTGGTTCTGTTACCGGAAGTTACGCGCTATAACCTCCTGTTTTTAATTTTTTGCAAGTCATACGTGCGTCTGGCGGTAAATAATTCATAAATCCCTTTGGTTCTCAAGTTTCTGGATAGAACACGGCAGAAGAATAATTTATAACGCTGTCTGTCGCAAGAAGCTGGGTAATATAAATAGTTTAGCTTTCCAGTCTCTTGCATCAGGTTAATAATTCTGTTGTATCCCGGATAACTCACTGAAATCAACAGCTTCGGCACAGAAAAAGTGCAAACGGAGCAAAAGAAGGTGAGGTTTTAACCGCTCTCGTTGCAGCTCCCTGTTTTTCCCGGCAACCGTGCAGAAGTCTTTTTTTAAATGTAGCCGTTTGTTATTTGGTTTCCTTCGTTTTCAACAACAATGAGATTACACATAGTACTGCGGTCAAAAATTCCAAAAACAGAAGTCTTTTTTGTGCCACTGCAGGATATCCAGTACTGCGTCAGATGACTGCTTAACAAGGGCTTAAATTAAAGTGCCATATTAGCGCACAAAATGCGTATTAAAGCTGATGCTACGACACACTTGACTTGACATGAGCCAGAAAGTTGCCGACATCCGGTTGAAAGTAATAGGCAGGTGGCAGCGAACAGTGTTTGGAATAATGACATGCATTAGTTCAGTATCTGACAGCATCTGAGTTTATATTCGGCCATCTACAGACCAAATGTTACTAAGCGATCTGACAATACTTACCCGCAAGTCGCGCCACAAGTGCGGTGAACAATATAACAATAATATTGATAAGAAAAGCACGACGTTATAAATGAAGCTTTTCTGTAGGCTTTTTCCGTTCACCAGAACGTCAGACCCAGGAGAGGACAAACGTAATTATCGTTGCGGTAAGGATATAAACTGAATGTGCGGCGATTGCATTCGAAGATGGGTACAATATTTCTGGTTGGCGCGATGATGTATCCCCTCTTTGCTTAAGTGCCTTGTAAAACCAAAAGAAGCGTTGTGGCTGAGGACTAAGGTAATCGTGTTAAAGACTCCAGCTTGAATTATCCACTGTAGACCAAGCAAGCGCTTACATGATGCTGAATAGTGAATACCCAGACGCTATAGCAACTACGCCGACTGGGCTTTATTTTTTAATAAATTACGATTACGAAACTGTGCTAAAAATCAAAAGCGAGTTCACGCGGCACAATTTTGCAAACGGTAAGACGTGACTTCTACATCACTTCGAAGTGGGATTACTCAATAATAGCGGGAGGGTAGTGTGCGGTACGAGAACAGCGCCTTCGAAAGGATAATTTATTAAACAGCAAAAAAAACCACACCTTCATTTTTATTATCACAAGCAGTCAGACTTCTTGTATAAACCAACGCCCATCATCGCCTGGAATCGCTTGATTTCCCTGTCTAGAAGCCGTATAGTTTTTGCAAATGAACGCGTTGGTAAGTTTGTCCAATATAATCAAGGTAGATCCGTCGATCAGCTTTAGAAAAACAAATTGCCCGTTCAGTCTTTCTGGTTCCATAATGAGCGCGGGGATGAATGCCATCAGCCAATGGGGACAACATCGGAGTAATTTGTAACTTCCATTTTCAGCAAATGTTATCCGCCAAAGTGCCTTCACAGGTTCTGAATTACGAAATACCAAGACACCGGTAACACCGTATGCAAGTATTGTTGCAGCAAGACCAGCCGCGCGAATGGCAGGATTCTTAAAAAATTAGACAACGGTTTACTAGCACAAAACAGTAAAGTGAGCACTAAATATGTAAAATATTAAAATTTAGTAAAATCTCTCTACCTATCTTTTGCTCCGTACACTGCAGGTGCCTTTTGCATTGCCTCTACTCGCTGCATTATGTCTGCGGCTTTACCTTTCTTTCGGCACGCTACTTTGTAGCGTTGTTCTCTGTACAAATAGACTCTATAGTGAAGACTACTGCAATATTAAACAAAACTGCATTAAGAATTAAAATGGAGAGGAGAACAAAGTGGAACCGGCAAAACCATGCGGATGAGTAAGAAAAACGCCGAATGGTTTTGCGGCAAACTGGTAAAATCGTTCATTCGTTAATTGTCCACTGTAGCTTTTTACCCACTTCGCTTTTTTCATTCTACAGTCTGTAGTGCACCGACTCAACAGATGCGCCATGGCAAAATATACACTACGTGTGTGTTATGCAAAATATACAGGTAGTATAGTGTTATGCCTTGGCTGCGCGCTGATATGGTGGTGCTGATGCACCTGAGGAGTAGTACAGAGAGTGCAGTCTAACTGTCTAAGGAACAAGCATGTTAGTTCGCCGAGGGAAGGTATAGCGGCACTATAGCCTAAGAGGTAATGTACGCAGTGTTTTCCAAACAACAAAATCAAGCAGCAAATGCGTTGCAGATTATTATAACTAATAGAGTTTTGATATCAGCTTTAACTTTATTTATGCAGCTTACCAGAGCGAAAGGGAATCGTCTCTCACGTATATAAGGATCAGAAAGAATATCTCCAAGGTCCACGCCCGCCCTGGATACAATAGTTGCCTTTCTGGTGAATAGCGGGATGTTGTTAGGAAGAAATTCACTGCAGCCAACCTCCTGTCGAAATCTTTCCAGCATCACATTTGATGATGACGTTACATAATAGACAGCAAAATGCACTTTGTCTTCATTAACAAGGGCCATGTTATTGAGCGTGTCTGCTAAATGCCGTCTCCAGACTAATGTCTGCTGGCGTATCCCTGGAGAGCCTTGCGCTGCTGCTATCAAAGTGATGCGAAGATTTTCGAAAAGCAGATAACGAGTTGCTACTAATGCAATCGTTTTCAGTAAAGTAAAGTACACTGGAGCTTCCTCTTGTGAGCACGTTGTTCCTACTCGATCTGCAAAATTGATTTTCGATTCGTCTATACCCCTTAGATATATCTGTATGTATACAATTTCTATCGTATTACCGAAAAAAGCGGCGCTTGCCGTCAAACGACTGAGCGTTAGAATGTTGTAATTGGTTGCTACTTGTTGCGCTGAAGGAGGATCCCGATTGTCATCACTTGTGTCTGTCTTTAACCTCGTCATCACAGAATCCACTTCTGCCATAACAGCTGCAACAGGCAGACGGTAGCTTTAAACTGTTTTGCAAATTTTGATTCCGTATGGTATTAGCGCTGTTTCTTGCGAAACATATATGTACGTATCATAACAATATATAAGGGGAATTCAACGGCTGAGGCATGTACTCCCTGTACTTGCTGCCGTCACCCGGCTGGAGTTTTACTTTGTGGCTAAAAATGGTGCTTATGTACCGCGCCAGATTTAACCATATGATATTGTAGTGCCGTAACGTCACACTCCAGCCGGGTGACGGCAGAAAGTACAGGAAATTCTTGCTGTGAATCTGAAAGCTCCTTATATAACAGCCAATGTTACAGTATAATGAGTGTACTTTTACGTCCTCGTATTATACATATGATTGCATGCCATAAAAATTATTGTACAAAAGCACGTATTATGTATAACATGTACGTTATGAACGTCGTACGGAGCAGAGGCTAAGAGATTTATATGACTGTAGAGCACAAACGGCACTGGCAGAAACCGGTTAAAATGTTGAAAGATCGCAATACTGATGTTTTATCTGTATGGCAAAGGCTTTAGCAGCTTAGGCCTTAGAATTATATTTATTATGCAAGTAATAAAACAATTTTGTAGGGTACTTTACCTTTCAAAAGATCAACGTGGTTGCCACACTCGTGACGGCGAAGAACATTTTCAATAGAATTTTCTGTCTGAACAATCGATGGTTTCACATTGCGTTCAAGAAGAGCGGCAGCAACTGCCCGCAGTACAGTAACAGCAAGGACTGCAATAGAAAGAGAAAAAACTCCATAGTTCGAAAACTAAGGGAGACATGATGCAGGCGAAGGCAGTACAAACCGTATTGTGGCACTGCAAGGGAGGCCAAAATTGCAGCAATTTCCAAACATGCCAAGATTCTGTTTTCAAATGAGCAGTCGTATAGCTGCGGCAGAAGTCCCAAAATATTTTTGGCAGCGTTTACGTTCTCTGCATTAAGGTATCTAAGAATACCTTGCAGCTGCTCTTGGATATCTCCCATTGCTTTCTGTACTAAAATATGCAAACTTTAGAACTGTTTTTGGGAACTGCTATGAGAAACTGTTCGAGGTTGGAAACAAATACTACTGCTTCTTTATAATGTGAGATCGTGCGCTTAGTACAAGTTTTGTAAATACAACAGCTATTTGTTTATCGATTGTAAGCCATTTGATTATAGGTTCGTAAACCGTTGTAACAGCAAGCTATCATAAGTACGAAAACAAGCCGATAAAATTGCTTATAATCTGAAACCGATCGATTTTACTGTCTAAACTGCTTTCTGTTACTCCGCCTTATCGTAACTGACAACAAGCAGATTAAGCTCGGCCGGACAGCTTTAGCATTACACTTTACGACGTTTCGGCATGAGAAGTTTTAAGCCTTTATGATCGGCATGTTTACGGTTTTAGTGCTTACAGAACATTTTAGTGCGCTAATCAGCGTGTATGAAAGACTGCTTTAACAGAACGACAAACAAAACAAATTACTCGTACGGCATGCGATGCATGCCATGCAGATACTTCCGCGATGTCGTATTTCATCCATATATTTTTTATTTCTATGCATGTTACAATATGTACGCCGAATTCTGACGTTAGAAATCCGCACAAAAAAAAGCTTCTCATGAGTAGGCGTCAAGATGCGGTTCGGAAGAAAATGTAAAGTATCTTGTGAAAGACTGCGTAATACCGTTTTTAACGTCCGTTTTGGATGGTTGCAGGCATAGGCGACGTGCAACACTGGCTAACATCTGCAGTATGCCGTTTCACGGTTTCGCCTTGAGGTCGGTGAAAGATTAAATGCCTGAGGTCCGGCAAGGATAAGGCGAAAACTATAGGATCCACTACGGGCTGCAGTTCACTTATGGTGAAAATCCAGAACATGACCAGGGGATCTTGATTTGTGGTCAACACAGGCAGTATTGCAACGGCAGGTGTCCAGCAGATTGAAACGCTGCCTGTTAAAACCGTTAGCAGTAAAAACGCACTGCTTTCTGACTTTATCTGCTGGTTATTTGACTCTGTCGATGACACGTCGGCTGATGGCATCTGACCACCTGCAAAGGTTGAGATATGCGCTATCATCATTTCGAAAATGCAACTGTGCCGGTTTCTCTGTTTTCAGCGGTGTACATTAGAATTCAAACATCGCTGTGTTACGCTGTAAGCGTTGTAACAAGCTAACAAGTATGTAGCTACAAAAATAACAGTACCATGTATCAAGCTGGTCCCGATCTTTAAAGATATAACTTACCGGTATTGCGGGAGCTGGAATGCCGAAGTCGCCGCAATTTCAGCATACGCTTCCGGCGCATGTAAAAGAAACGGGATATTGAGCCAGCACAATGCAGAGCGCAGTGAACGACAGAGCTTCGTCGAAATAAATCCAAATGTGCTGCATCGGCGCGTCTCTTACGTGCATCCAGCAACCTGCTATCGTTTCCGGTCGCCTGTAGATCAGAGCATCTAAAACGACTGCCGGCACGATAACTAAATGAGCAGCTAACCAGCAAAGACTGCACAGGATGACGGCAATACGCGTATTATGGTGCTGACGATAATGTATAGGAAATATGACCGCAAAAAAGCGGCTGACAGCGATTGTGGTATGAATATAATATTGGAAACGCGCAATGACATTTCCGGAATAAATTCGAAAAGTGCACCAATTCGAACCCCGGCACCAAAAAGCGAATACGCTGTTGACTATTTCCAACGGTCCGAAACAAACCGCATATAGGAAATTGGCGCTCAGAAGCGCAAAGACATAAAGATGAAAGTCTCTAAGTATGCGCAAGTTAGCGAGATAAAATAGCAGTACAATTCCATTCAGCGCAGTAATTAGAGCACAAGCTGATAACACCGTGATGCCATACGGTGTCCAGATTAACGGATTGGCAACCACATTGCACAAATCAGCAGTATTTTTCCAAATTGAGCTGTTGTTCGTCATTCCACTCATTGTAATGAAGTAACACTTATACTATAAAGGAAATTCCGTAAAGTATGGACCGTAAGACTGCCGATATTTTCCAATTTCTAGGGAAATGCAGTGTCAACGTCACTATACGATCATGTCAGTTACACACGTACGGTATTTCTGACGGGGTGCAAATCGCCTATGAGAGAAAAAAATTTGCTTGATCGCTTAGGTGACCGTTCAGTCTATAACTGCCGCCGCAAACTCAATGCCGATGTTGCTCAGATTCAGACATTCGGGTATCTTCCAACGCCTATGTAGGTTTTTTGTGCATTATGCGCAGTAGAAACGACTGGTAACGTGTGTCATCACGATCCGGAGCTTATCTACGCTCTGAGTGGTCAAAACAACTATACCGCACGTATTCGAGATACCGCGCTGCAGAGCTCCGTTTTTTAACATACCCGTTCTTATCTCTATGAATCATAACTTATGCACCATGGTGCGCTGCACTGGCCGTATACCAGCCAACAGAGAAAGTTGTCTGACTCTTCGTGTTGTGGGTATCGGCAGTAATACCGCAGCAGCAACTAATACCGGCGTAAGCAGCAATTGAATTCAAAAGTTAATAGAAGAATTTTCCTCACTCAATAGCGCAGCTTGCCGTACTTGCATTAATTTTGTTAATTTTGCCATTTCAGTGAAGTGCGCATATAATACCATGCGTCGCTATCCTTCTGGAAAGGATGAAAATAGGTTGAAATTGTAGACATTCATTGAATTTGCCTGTCTTTCAGAAAGCATTGAACTTGTGCCCAGCGTAGCTTCAAATACACAATAGGCAGTACTCCTAATCGTTCTACATCTAGATAGAGCACAGACAGGATAAAACTCGTAAAAGCTACGAGCTACCAGCAACTGCGACGAGAAGCGGGTTTGCGCAACGTGACTAGTGCAGCAGGCGTGCGGTTTACATCTAGGATAGATGTTCCAGCATGTTATGTCTTGCAAAGCCTGCGGTAATTGTTCCCAAGTAAACTACTTCCCCGTTCCCGTCATAAGAAAGCAGAATTAATTCAAGCATGGCTAGGAAGCGCTTACTGAATCACACGCTTCCAGTCCAACGAGCGTAAAGCTGAGAAAAATTCCCTATGACACAAAGCCGCGGAGCAATTTAAATGATTTCGTGCCATCGGTGTCCAAATGTAAATTACTGTAGAATTTTAATTTCCTGATAGAGCACAGACAGGATAAAACTCGTAAAAGCTACGAGCTACCAACAACTGCGACGAGAAGCGGGTTTGCGCAACGTGACTACTATATGGCACAGGCATATGAAATAAGCTGCTGATGTACCGCTTTGTGTTGGGAACCTGCAGCGAGAGCCAAAACACCACTTTCTGAAACACTATCTTCTTAAAACTACTTTCTCGATTTTCGACTTTACTGCTTCCGAGCTATGCTGCAGCATTTTAATGCGTTGATAAGTAAATAATTGTTAAAACTACACCTGGATGAAAAATTAGGTTCAGTGCCACATCTCCAGATTTATTTCGTAGTCGCCAGTTAGATTTGTACGTGATTTTAAAATGAACAGACCAAAAAGAAAATTATTTTTAAGATCTCAAAGAAATTAATACGAGAAACTGGTTTCAAAAAGTTAAAAAGAACCGTTAGTAATATTATGTGGTGCAGTACTTCATTATGGTCCAATGAATGATGTGAAACGAAATTAACAAACACATATCCAAGATTGCAGAATTACATAGATAATACTCCACAACAGTTTATTTGCGAATTTTAAGTTTTAAATTTTAAAATGTTGTTTTGACCAATGGACATTCATTCCGTAGCGCTGATGAACTACGTAGGTAGACAAACATTTACAGCAAACATGTTTGTGGAGGCGACAAACGATATCTCGTCGAACGATGTTTTGTGAACATCGACAACTTACTGACCACAATTTGCTGACTGAGAAAACCACGCAGCCTAAGAAAAACAACAAGAAGCAAAAAAAACCCAACGTATCACAGCAAAAAGCCAGTTGTCGATCACCAAGAATGTTTCGACAGAACGGCGGCCAACAATTTAGCAGAAAAGTGAATTATCGGTCAGCAAATTGTCGGTCAGCGAATGCTAGGTCGCCGAATTGCCGTGCTATCGTTTGGGCACGCCAATGCGGCCACCGTCACATGAATCCCTGTCCATCAGTAGACAAAGGCCTGCAATTTGGCTGGCATTGCGTCCACTGCGGCAATGGCCTCGAATAATCAATTTCATTATTTATTCGCTTTAATCATAGAGTTAGCTGATTCTGAATTTTTGGCAGTAGCCACGTTTTATCGCATGCCAGAACGCGTAGTGGCATCTGCCACTGCCGGTGCAGTTGCCCGTGGCAGGTGCCACTGCCACCTTTTATCCCCTACCTCCTGGACAATATTAGTGATGCATTATACGATTCTATTGTTCGCCTTTGTGGATGCCGCGATAAACGGTCATTGGCTTTAATGCAAGATAGCGTGTAGACTGTAGAGCAGTCGGCGTAATTATTAAAAGCACTTGGCTTATACGTTGCATGTACAGTACGAGTATGTCAACAAATCAGCTAGGTTTGTCCTGATTTACTTAAGATGTTTTGCTCCAAACATTGCCATTGCTCTAGGTGTGCGAGTGGAATGAATGAACATGAATGAACATGAATGAAGATAGGAATGTTCATTCATTCCACTCGAACACCTACTCTAGAGCAACGGCAGCGCTCCATATCTACAAGCTGTCCGGCTAAGCACCGTATGTAGTAGCGAATTTTAGATTTCACAAAACAAGTTCCGTCCAGTTCGACGTGCGGGTAGAAGTTGGCGTTACGGGTCGATTTACGTCCGTTCGCGACGTAAGGCGCCGTAACCTAACGTCGTTGGCTGACGCGTAAAAACTATCTCCCTTGCGTGGATCTGTGCAACGGCTCAGCCGTATGGCTGAGCAATAAGCCAGCGTATGCTGCCTGTGGATCTTTTTTGTGTGCTCTAACCGCCTCCCCGAGAGCAGGTTGGTCACGCTCTCGGCACTCTCGACTCGATTTATTTTTCAGCTGTACGTCACTGCATGTGTGCATCCGTACAAGCATTTTGAACGCTGTTCAATCTGGTAACGTACTGTTTATGTGACGCGGTAGTTTCTAGTGGACGGAGCCTGAACCATGTGAAATCTAAAATTCCCTAGTAATATTATAAGTGCGAACATTTTGTGGCAGACAGTTTGTGCTTACGACTGTCGACAAACTCAGCAAACGTTCGAACATACTGTAAAAATTCATATTTATACTTCATATTCAAATAGTATTATAAATTAATTACCTAACACAAATCAATTCCAATTAATTCAAGATAATTAAAACAATCATGCATTTAACATGGCGTGGAGCGTGATGAATGCCAAAGATTTGCGCTAATTACCTGTCGTATTGTAGTGACGGTGTATTCTTTATTAATGCGATGCGATGCTCGCTACGGAGCCAACCAGGCAACTAACAGTAAATGTTAAACATTACAACAACACTTGACACAGCTATCTCATTGCTAGAGCACACTGAGCACAGTATCTCTAGGACATCATCCAGATTCACCAGATACGAACCACCTTTGTGCGCGTACATACATACACTACATGTATAGTACATTACGCCATAGGTGAACCGTGAACCCCGTTTTATCTTTACATACTCTATACATGCTCAATTCATCGACAAGCTTGTACTGTACATAGCGGCAATATGCGTCCTGGATACAAACCCAGTCCGGGTATTGGATATGGCTGTTACCTTTGTCGGATGCCAGACACCTCAACGCACCAAGTTAACGATAAGGCTTGCCCTGAATATGTCCAACAGACAAAGCAAAATTTAGCTCAGTTAATTCGTTCGTATCAATGTTCCAAATTGATACGAGCAGCAGTGCACATATAAACCCACGTGCCAACCATGGATTCTTTACCATCAACCTGCCAGTCACACTCTCTTGCTGCCAGGCAGAATGCAACACTCAAGTCCATCTACCCATGCAGGTAATGTTGTAAGAGTATTCATGGATTTGTAAACTGCTTAAACATCTTCCAATCGCTTTATCATCCCAGGTCCTCCCGCAACATCCATCGGGATTTTGGACACCAACATCCTAATGAACATCGGTCAAACAATCCTCAAAATTAGCGGTTCCATCGACACTCGTGCCAACTTCGAATCAATATTAGCCGGCTTAAGCAAATTTAACAACTGTATTCTAATGCTGCCCAGCAACGTGGAGGACGATTTGCGTCAGGTCAACGAGCGCCATGCGAACTGCCCCGCAAGACGAGCAGCAACAGGTTTGGCTCTGTCAGTACTGAACGGGGATTTTGCGAGTGTTCGGCTGGTGCGGCACAACATGGAAGCCTACAGCGGGCATTCGGTGGATTTACTCTGTATTCCGTCGGACATCGTAAAAGTGTTTTTGATAACGAACGATAAGATCCTGCAGCTGATTGCTTTGGTCAGTGACATTACTTGCTCACGCCTTACGCTGTATAACGAATCAGTCGGCATTCGTTTTGTGGAGTTTCGAGGTGACCTTTGGGATGTTGGTGTTTGTTTGGATAAAATCTTTGGTAAGATCGTCAAGCAGCAGTGGAGAGACGAAGCATCGTGGCAGTGTAAAGATCATCTGGTAGATACGTTGACCAGAGCGTTATGCATTGTCGACCAGCAGAAGCGTTTCGGTCAACGATCTACCAAGAGGAAATGCAGCCTTCTGTACGACCAAACGGTGGAGGAATCTTTAGTTTCCTGCCCACACGGAAATGCTGAATGGGAATTATTAGCTGAGCCTAGTTAACGAACAAATGTTAAAGCGTTTGATGTCTGGAAGGTAGGAGGTATCAAACGCAAGAAAAAAGCAGAAAAACGCCAAGCACTCTATCGTCGAAATGGCAAGTCCGCGAGCGGAAAGACTGCGAATACTGTAGCAGCGATCGGGGATGATCAATGTATGCAGTATCTAGCCCTGCCGGTCAACGATCTATCAAGAGGAAATGCAGCCTTCTGTACGACCAAACGGTGGAGGAATCTTTAGTTTCCTGCCCACACGGAAATGCTGAATGGTAATTATTAGCTGAGCCTAGCTAACGAACAAATGTTAAAGCGTTTGATGTTTGGAAGGTACGAGGTATCAAGCGCAAGAAAAAAGCAGAAAAGCGCCAAGCACTCTATCGTCGAAATGGCAAGTCCGCGAGCGGAAAGACTGCGAATAGCAGCGATCGGGGATGATCAATGTATGCAGTATCTAGCCCTGCCGAACCAGCGTTGTGAACCCTTTTCCCTTGATTGTCAGTTTTTGAATTTGGAGAAATTGTCATACGGACAAACTGGAACGCAGTGCGCACAGTCAATTCTGGGAGGGAACGGCTCTTCGCGAAACTGGCACCGTTTTGATGAACCGTTATTTTAGAAAAATGGCAGCGGCGTATAAAATGGCAGCAGAAAACAAAGCAGTCTATCGTCGAATTATTTTCAGTTCAATCCGAATCTCTGGAAAGTGGAGTGGAAACCACCAGTAGAGTTTAATACGATTTTAAAAACATCTTAACAAATGTACCTTATCGTTCAGAAATCGTTTTTGGCTGTGGTAGTCTTAAAGCTACATGAGCATACAGTGGAACCTCCTACTCTGAACACCCCCGAACGCTGAACACCTTTGAATCTTGAACAACTTTTTTCGTACCGGCGCTTCTCGTAATGTATAGCATTAGGGGGGACCTCTGAACCCTGAACACCTCTGAACTCTGAACCGTGAACACTCGGCTATGTACCGCAGTATGTTTTCTTAGTAAATAAGACCTCCAGACATGAACAGAGCGGCTCACCAAAACATCCGAGAAGATCAAGCGTTCAAGGTGTTCACTTAGATCATTCGTAACCACTCGTCTGCCGTTCAGTATTTTTATTTCGTGATCAAATTTCTAGTTTTTAAATGAACATCAAGGTAAGAAATGCGTCCCAGACAAGTTCACCGCTGCTCATTCTGATGAAAAAAATCTATTCTCGATAATTTTTCGGCCGACGAATATTAAAATTTTAATTTTCGAATTGTAAAATTAAATATTAAAATTTTAATTTTTTGAATTGTAATTCCCATGTTAAACTTTTATCTTGCCCAACACGATACAAATCATACATTAAGCTTTTTAACTAGCTATATATAAATTATACGAAGTCAGGGGCCCCCCTGAGAAAATCTCCGCCCCTGGGGGCAGTACCTCTGAACCATGAACACCTCTGAACCCTGAACAAGAAACTGCGTACCGAGGGTGTTCAAGGTCGGGAGGTTCCACTGTACATTTTTGTAGGTGAATCGGTTGTTTTGGAGTCAATTGCAAATAATCTTCGAAGATCTCAAGCAGTGGTGACTGTAACACAGTACCGGTGCCAGTGTTATTGTGTTTTTGCTCTAATTTTTCATTCAAAACCTGGTATTACCAAATAGTACTATCGAAACTATCCTGAATTTCTTATCGTTTGACGTGGGGAGGACGAGTACACCACCGGGATGCCACGATGATGTCCGCCTTTACCTATAAATACAAGCGCCGTGTTATTATCTAGTCATCTCTCTACCCGTGATTGGCTGTACGTTAAACTCCTAGCGATGTATGCCGTGTACTACTAGAAGTCTATATAAGCTCGAGTGATGTCTAATATCGGGAGCGGTCAGGAATTAGTCGTCTGATTTCTGATATTCTTACTTTTCTGACTTTCATGTGTCGAGGATTACGATGTGCATTGGATTAAAGGGCAGTATTTTCTAAAGGTTACCTAGAAGTTCGGGATTCGAGTCTAATCTTAGCTTTGGGTTACCGCAGTATACTCGCGCCGCACAGGCCATCGCCTTTATCTAATCCACGTAAGAACCGAGACCGGAAGTGAGAAGTAAGGCATTCATTCGTGTTTCGCAGGGCTCCTGATAGGGATTCCTGGTTCTTGAGTTCGTACGCATACCTCCATCGATCCTCCAAGTTGTTTTCGCCATACCAGTTTGAGAGAGAAGAGTGCTCATACCGCTAAGCGTGGCTGGGAAGTGGTTAATAAAGTCGTCCAACCTTGATTAATACGACACGTTTAAGCTTAAGTGAAAATGCCGATGTACCGAGAGCCGGGCATAAAAGTTTATATTAAAGGATGTCTTTGACTGCATACAGTAAATTGCTTTAATAAGTATACAGATGCATGAGTACATGCATGCGCTTGGAAATAACTACCGCATTTTTTAATCGATATGACGTGAAAACAAACGTCCCATTCTTAGGCGCGCGTTTGCGGCATTTGCCACAAGTCCATGCAGTAACGCGCTAAAACTTACCGTGTTGGGATAAGTAATAAACAGCTGCGGCTAGTAAAGAAATGCTGGCTTAAAATCATTAAGTTTTACAAACCGTTCTCCGATGTTTGACTTCGCGGCTGCGTATGGACTTTTAATGTGACTATGGGTAACAACTGTAAAAGCATAAAGAAAAATGACAATTAACGAGTTAATTGATGTTAATGTTAGCTGGAGGACATGCGCTTCCGCTCTGTCTCCTTTCGCCGTGTGTTGCGAGTTACGTGAGTCTGTTGGTGGCGCTGCGCGTCGCCGTGGCGCTTAGATCAAAGCGGCCGCCGTCATGCACGGGCATGCTGTTTGCACTTGGTACTGTTCGTGTGCTCGCATTGCATGGTTCTGCAGTTCTCACTGCTGTCTGTCTTTGCTTCTTCGATATCGTGTGCGCGCGAGTGATCTCTGTTCTTTTACCACCCGCCACACCCTGCTGTTTTCTTCTGCTGTTATTTCGCACTTGCTCAATAAAGGGGCCTTCGGTTGCGCAGGGCACTGGTCGCTCTCTTCCGCCGACCCCCGGTCGGCCGGCTTCTCGCTTACCCACGATCACCGCACACAGCCGATCACAGAGAGCACCAGCCTCCCAGCAGCCGGGGCTCCAGTGCCCCCAGTGGAGTCCGGAAGCGGTAACATTAAATAAGGTTTGGTGGCACATCTTGTGGTAAAGTTTACACGCGCAAAATGTATGGGTTTTATAAGCTTTTTTGAACCAACAAGCTAAACGTGGAAACGTTATTCAAATTTTAAAGTGGTGTAGCAAAATCTGGTTTCAAACTACTATACCGATATAGTAGTACTAGGCATTTTTTTCTTCGTCGTGCCTCAAATAGTCATGTAAAAAGAAAAATACAAAAAAAGCACAAAAACACTGGCAGTTTCGAAAATACCCCGCACAGGGGTCTAGCAAATTTCGGCCTTTTTGAATTTCTAAAATCATCTGTGACAACTGGCATTGTGTAAATTATGCAAACATTTGCAGTGAACCATGTCTCAACAAGGAGGTCGCAGAAACATCAAGTGTCGAAGGTCCGGCAGCGAAAGCGTGAAGATTATGGGGTCGACTGTGGGCTGCAGTTCACTTATCGTGAGAATCCAAAACATGACCGAATAATCATTAACAAAGGCAGCAAGACAGCGACAGGTGTCCAGCAGATGAAGGCACTGACCGTCAATATGGTCAGCAGCAAAAAGGCGTTCCGCTCCGACTTCGCTTGCGAGTTATTGGATGGCGCTGTCTGACAAAGTTAACAATGCAGTCTCTAGCAGCCGGATGGGAGAAATTTTCCCAATTTCATTAATATCAAAAGTAATGCCCTGTTGTATCAAATTGCGGAGCCGCTTTGTAGATCAATCCCCCGGAATGCACATTAGCTCTTTAAAAAGGAGTTATGAAAACGGTTACGAAATTTCCGGCTTACGAAAATATTTACCAATCCACATAAAATAAATTAAGTCAAATTCACCACCTGCAAAATCCAATGTGTTGCTTACGGAAGCAGGAGCTGGCTTAAGTTTACTGATGGGCAGTCCTTATAAAACCATAGTTATTGAGCCAATTGGACTTAGTACCAGAAAAATCTTTTACCGGTATTCCGTGAATTGTTGGAATGCCGAATTTGCCGCAATTTCGTTTCCGGCGAATGTGAAAAACAACTGGATATTGAACCAGCACAACGAATACAATAACGATCGGCGAGCTTGATGGAAATACAGCCATATCTGTTGCTTTGGTGCCGTTTCGTAGTTCAGCATGCAACTTGCCACCGCTTTCGGTCGCCTGTAGAGCACCGCATCAACGGCAACTGCCGGTACGATAGTCTGATGATAGAAAACACAGCAAAAACTTAAAATTCTGTATCGTTGTTATTCTGCACATGCGGAGATTTCCGTCCGCCTCCAGACACTATTTTTCGTTGTTTTATGATAGCGTGTTTTATGATATTTTGGATAAATGGCCGTGAAAACCGATTGTGCGCACACAGCGTGCACAATTTTAAAATTCATTGTAATTTTGAAAAAATGAAGAAACAATGATTTAGTGTAAAGAGACCTTCATGGTTATGTATGAGTTTGTGAAATTTTTGCAGATCGGTCAAACATGACGATTTTAGTAAGTACAGGTATTTGCGCATGTACCAGCACGTTTGGACACTTTGTTTTACCCATAACGTCCCAAGCGGAAGTCGGGCGTACGAATGTCTTAACACCAATGTGGAAATGTATACCGGCTGCATAATGTCATAAAAAAACGAGAAAGTATTTGAAGTGGGCGAAAGCGAAATTTTCGTTACCTGTAACGAATTTCGTATTAAGTACCGGGCTATGTAGTGTCGTGGTAATAAATAACATTTTACCGGTAAATATGACCTTTAGAAGATGTTCACATACATTTCTAATAGTCTGAGAAATCAGTCAATAAATAAGCTAGCAAAAGAATACGACAGACAACTTCCAAATTTATGGTTGACGTTTGCCAGAAATTTTTGACGTGCGTAGAAAAACAGATCGGCAGTAACTTTTTCGGATCTGCCCCGTTGTCATCACAACAAAAATCAACAGCTTCTCATCTATTGCTAACTACGGCTGAAAACAGCACATGCAGCAGAAATCAACCTTTTAGCGACAAACATTATATGCGTAGGATCTATCCGTGTTTTCAGTTCGGTGTCGCGTTACGCAATGTGCGGAATGGAGTTGGGGCGAACAGCTTCCGCGTACGACGGTGGCGCACCCATATGATGCGATGTCTGGGGAGCGAAGCATCGCAGCGACTGGCCGTAAGGATCATTAGCGAATGCGTTAGCTGCGCTAGTTGTTGCATCATCCGTCATAATTGGCTGCGAATCTCCTTCATCGTCCTCTACCACCCGACGTACCACCACGGCTGTGATTCTCCGGCGGACAATGGCAAGAGTTACCGGTACCGGCGTTGCAGTCTGACGAGTGGCATCTTCACCATTGCAAATCCGTACACAGGTAAACAATATCAAGAAACCCACGACCAACACCGCGACAATAATCCCAGCGGCGGCCCCGCCAGATAGTCCCGAAGCCTCCCTCGGGTCCCTCCAACCAGGCGGGGTGGCACCCCAACCAGGCGGAGTATCGCCCCAGCCAGGTGGATTGTGGAACGGTGGCAACGTCAAGCCCTGGGGTATGTGAACGGTGACTGATGAACTTCCGTCAGGGTTAAAATGCGGGGGACGGTACGGTGGAAACGTGAATGGCTGGTACATGGTGCCTGAGGAGGCAACGCCTGAACGAAGGTTGAACGCGGTGGAGAAATTTGTCGCGCACTGGATGGTATCCGTAGGGTTCTCGGTTAATGACGGCACATAAGTGTTAGGGCAAGTTATAGGTTCGGTGCTGTTTGGGCAGTACCATGCAGTCTGAATGCAGCCGTTTAATGCCCGACAGTATGTACTCCCGGAAAGGTTGGATCCTATATCAAAAATTAAATAAAAAAAAATTGTAATTACCGGTAAGACTCCGAGCAATAATGCAATTCATGCAGTGTAATTCATACCGTGAAGTACGGTGTAGTCAAAAATAATTTGATACCCGACAGATGGCCACGGAGAACCAGCGGAATTGTCGTACACAATATTGACGCGTGGTTGTTTATTGTAGCTTGTTAAATACTGCGCGACGGATGGGCGCGGTGTTAAAATGGACTGTCCAGTCAACTGCTTGCCCAGAAATTGCTTATTTCCTATCAATTCGTAAATTTTCAAAACTTGATGGGATCTCGTAGCGATTGCTCTGAAATAAGTAAGTCATGGGGGTAAATATTATAAGTCAGATTGCACTAAATGCAAAAGGCATTGACTTATGCTATAGGGTCCTTTTGGAGAGCCAGCTTTTTCTCTGGCTGTTGTAGCGTGAGAAACTGCACCCGTAACATTTTTGCCGACACTTGCGAATGTTTCTTTTCTTATACAATGCAGTGGTCCGCTGCGTGGTAATCGTAGTTTGAAGATGTACAACTACCCGCTCTTGCTGTTCGGTGTGGAAACCAAGAGACGAAATATTCGCCGGTGTTAGCAAAAGGTCACAGCCGCACGTATCTGTAGCAGCGTGGAAGAAGCTTTATATATAAAGCTTAAAGTTTATACAGATATATTATACAGGTAGCTTTATTATAGAGGTAGCTCTATATATAAAGCTACCTATAGCAGTGTAACGGTTTAGCACTGGAATTAAAACGGCATCGAAACGGCTGTCACGGAAGTAGTAAGTACTCGTAAAATGCTGTCGCAAACACTACAGATACGTATGTGCGTTTGGTAGGCAATCGTTTTACGAATATTTTAATACAGCCAAAAGCGAAAAATAAACTGAAATCATTACCAGGCAAAAAATACGTAAGCATCAGTCAGACAGACTAAGGAACATTCAGACTGAAACATCGTTACGAAATGCAGTAAATTACAGCGTTGTGCAGGACAAACCCTGTGCTTTATCTGTGTCAAGTACTTACCTTATGTTTAAATAAAGAGCGAAATTCCCAAGTATACTGCTGGTGCAATTTCCGTCTAATTCCAGTGTCACATTGCACTGGGGCGCTTGTATCTGGGACACAGCACGGAACCGAAAAGTACCGGCATGACCTGTTGCTTCGGTTGGACAAGGGACGACGAACGCTTCCCCACATCGATATTCAACGCTCACTGTTAAATACAAAACAGCAACGATTAATACGGTCATCATGAGCATTGTCATTAATACGGGGTAATGTACTCGTATATGTACTGTTAGAGGCACGACAGCCTGCGTGATAGATACGCCACTTTGCGTATGCGTATCACTGCACACATGCTGATTCGCCCTCTCTTGTACGTACGTGAGTGGCTGCACTGCACTCTCCGCCTAGCGGATACACCGCGGGCGCACTCACTGAGCATACTTGCTCTCTCGCTCCTCTCTCTCGCTGTATGACTCAGCGCTTATACGCTCGCGTTGGATACGAGTCCAGTCTGCGCACTCACATTCCTTGTGTCTGGACAGCGTGACGCCGTTGCCGCCAGCACATTCTATTCTCTACATTTTCATTACGCGTAGAACTCGCTCGCAGCAACTTGACTGCTGATTTCTGCCAGACATTGGCTTTGTTGTGTTTTTTCTCCCGCAATCACGCGGTATTTGCTCCCCTTTATTTGTACAATAAAGGCACCTGTGAGCCCCCTGCGCTTGCCTGTCACATGGTAAGCAGATCGTCTGGTTTTTCGGTTTATCGGATCCTTTGAGGAGACGGTAAAGGCATAACTTGCGGAGAACTCGAAGAACCCGTGGTTGAAAACAGATTGACTGCGAACGCAGCCTCTGCTTCAACCTGGTCTTTGCTGTCTTGCGACTGTGGTAGCAACAGGTCGATCGCAAAAGCGATCCCTGCCACCTTCGCTTGCCCTATCTTTCGCCTCTCCCACACAAGGAGAGCAACTTGGCTGACTGCCCCAGACGGACGAGCGGGAACTTCCCCACCGCAACTGACGGGACAGGCCCAGAAGAGAGCCTGCAGCGCGTACGGATCCTCTCAACAATCGGGGACCTTCTCCTTGAACGGAGACCCGCAACTTTAACGCGGAAATCGACCTCCCAACAGCGGATCACCGACCTCCACGGACACCAGTAACAAACCGGTAAAGTCCTGGTTACAGGTCGACACAGGTCGAATCTAGGTAGAATTCCTAGTTTCTAACGGCTAAAAGTAATTTCTAACGAAGAAATTTTACTTTTCTACGGTAAAAAGTTAATTTTTGTCGGAGAAACCGACCTACAAAGTTACTTTTACCGACCTAACGGACCACTCTGTGTAACTGACCAGAGGTCGGTCACCCTCTTACTTTTTTGATTTGACGGATTTTCCACCGTCAGAAAAATTTCTAAAGAACCTAGAAATTATTTCTAACGGTTAGAAATTAAAATTTCGACCAGAAAACATCTCTGATCGACCTAAAAATAATTTTGTTTTTCCGCGAAAATAAGCGCGAAAATCGTTGAACTTCCTTGTGACGTCAGAACGCTCGATTTTCAGTACTTTGAGGCTAGCCAATCAGCGTGCAGGGGAAACTTCCCATAAGCTTAACATAGGCGTGAATCATCATTTTTTAAATTTTGCACGCGGCTCGCATTCTGTGACGTAGGCAGTGAAGTGCAAGACCACTTAACCCTGTGACGTCATACTGGTCAGCACAGTAGTATAGGACGTACTCAACTGTAGTACCTTATCATACTGTACTGTACCATAGTACTGTACTGTAACGTTGTGTACTGAGTCACATACAGACACAAGTCAACAACAACAACATCAAGTCGGACCATCCTGACCCTCGGAAGTTCCTGAACCAAAAGACGTTCCCGATTCAATTGAGCATCCCCACATAAGGGATTGTTCAATTTACTGTGCAACAGCACAAGTCTTCGTGGTTCCACTTGAACCGACCTGACCCGACAACAATGTCGAACCCGAAAGAGAACGAATACGCCCGAAAGTTCAACACGGACTATTCGCGGCGCCTGACCTCAACCGCGCCGTACTCACTTCGGCACTCCGGTCAGGATAAGAGTCAGCCGTCATCAACGGACTCAACGAAATCGGTCGAGGCACGGGAGAAGCGTAACGAGCGGATCCTCCTCGCCGATTCCAACCCGACGTCCGATGACAGCTTCGAGGACGCCCACGATAAGACGTTCCTCGAGCCCCGAGCTGACTTAGCAGCCCCGTCCCACCCGACCGGGGGGGAATCGGAGAAGCTGCAGGCTGAGACCACATTGTCTCATGCCGAGGCGGAACACCCACATGGTGTACCGACCTCCATGGACTCAACAGAAGGAACTCAACTGAGCTCACAGAAAGCTCAGGAGTCGGTAACGACTATGAAAGTCACCGACTCCGGACGCAAATCACCCAACCAGACGGATGATGCGAAGAAGTCGACCTCGCTAACTCGGGTGAGCGACTTCACCGACCTCGAAGGTCGGTGAAGCAACCGATAACAGAAATCGGTCAAGTCCAACCGACAACAGAAGTCGGTAGGGCTTCACCAACCTCAAAGGTTGGTCAACAGACACCGGCCTCGGAGGTTGGTCATCCTCAACCGGACAGGAAGGAAGGTCAATCGTCACCAACTAAGGACGTTGGCCAAGGAGGAAGGGATTGGTGAAATCCAACCGACCACAGAAGTCGGTAGGATCTCACCGACCAACAAGGTCGGACCACTTCGACCAAGGTCAACAGCAACCGACCTTGAAGGTCGGTCAACATCAACAGACGATGGAGGTCGGACAACAATTGCCGACCAGGAAATCGGTAAAGTCCAACCGACAACAGAAGTCGGAAGGATCACACCGACCAAGAAGGAGAAGTCCATCGACCAACCAGGTCGGACCTCGTCCGATAACACAAGTCGGAACCGAGGTCGGACAACTCCACCGACCTTGAAGGTCGGACAACAGTCGCCAACCAAGCAAGTTGGTCAAGTACAACCGACCTCCCTGGAACAGAAGCCAGTGGATAACAGGTCGGATAAGGAAGTCCAGCCGGGAGAAACCGAGGCGCCACCACGAAGTGGACCTTACCTAGCTGGACCACCGACCAACATACCGATGCCCAACGAGAAGGCTATCTCACCGCTGAGTCGACCTTCGCCAACAGAAGGCAGGTCGACCCGAGTAACAGAAGCTCAACCGAAGGTGAAATCGGACAAGTCGCCAACAAGTCGACCTGTCGACTTACTGAAGAAGCAGTCGCCACCAATGTTCGAACTTGGCGACTCGGGTAGTGAAACGCCACCACCCATGGACGACGTTTTTGACACAACAGTAATGTCACGTCCCAGTAGCAAGGATGGATTCTTCCGAACGCCGGTGGCACCCCACTTGGGTAACCATAGGTACCAAGCAAGCACGCTTGAGTACACGGCACGGAAGTGGATCGCATCCACACCTCCAGAAAAGATCGAAGACGTCGATTGTCTCAGGAGACGATGCCAGGATTTGATAACTCAAATCGTCCTGGCCGACCAAATCGTTAACTCCACGGAAAGACAGATGTCACGATCGGTGGATACCCATAAGCTTGAACGAAGGCGATGGGAAAAAGAACTCGCTGAAGCCAACAATGGCATAGCCGCTCAACAGCGCCGGATAGAACATCTGGAAAGCCACCTCAAGAGGTCCGACAACCCATGTCGGTACGACTTCGAGGAGGTTGGACGACTCAGAAGTACATTTGCGACGTCGGTGGAATCGGTCTTTGAACTTAAAAGACGGCTCGCCACCGTGGAAAAAGACCTGGCTGACACACAAACAGCCTTGGTTGAATCGGAACTGGCAGCAGGGACATTCCACCAACAGCTCAATCAAGCCAACGAAGAGGCTGAAGTGTACCGGAACGAGGTCGACAGATACATTGAACTCAAGCAGGCCGATGACGAGGTCGACCGGCAAAGACACCGTATCGAACAACTCGAGACGGAGATGGAAATTCTCTTGGCCGGGGCGGGACGACCAGTTAGTGGCTCACTATAGCCAGCAACCCGCCTTACCTGACCGAAGTAGAGCCATCACTGACCTGGAACAAGCAAACGCCCAACTGGTCGACCAGGTCTACGGACTTAACGATGTGCTAAAGGAGGAACAGAGACTCCGAGCACAGCTGGAACACAGCCTGGCGGAAGCCCAGAAAGTGTATGAAGCGCAACAGAATCGCATCCCACACTTGGAAATCCGCGAAAACGACTTGTACAACTATGGTCTGGATACGGATAAATATATCGATGACTTAAATCGATATATCGACGAGATGACCAAATACACCGATGACTTGGATACGGAGGTACGGTGCCTCCAGGAGGAAACGAAACACCTGGAACAATCCAGGACGGAACCTCCATCCTACAGGACTTCGATGGCAACGGATTTCCACTTTGAACCGTCGCAAACTGTTTGAGACATCCTGTTTGACATCCAACCGAAGGAGCAGAAGAAGGAACCGACCTTCTTCGTGGGTGTGGTAACAAGTAACCCGCTCACTGGAACTCCACCGCAGCAACAGCCTCTGCCCCACCGTCCAGAACCGGAACGGAATACATCGACTGCGGCACCACATGTGCCAACGTCAAACGTGCCGACAACGACGACGGCCACGTAGGTACACGAGTACCACGTATGCGACGCACACATCGATGCATGCGCCAGCGCCCACCACGTCCCACCCGAATGGACCAGCGCCTAACCAATGGGGCGCAGGACGGCGACTGGGAGAGCGAACAGGCTCACACCCCAACATGGATGACTTCGGACGCTTGACGATAAGCGACTCCGATTATCAGCGGACACGAGCCAGGTCATACAATAATGACCTTCCTCAAGCAGGACGAGGCGGACAACCGAACCCGGAACGTCCTCCCGCTACTCATCCGGAAGATCCTCAGTACGCGCCTCGGTTCCGACCCACAGAAGGTCGAGTACCACCGAGAAGGCCGTTCAGAGGCCAGTTTGGAAGAGTGAACGACCTTCCAGCTGGATTCTACCAGCAGCCACAACGGCCCCCACGAGCACCAGCTCCTCAGCCGGAACCATACCCGGCCGGATATCCAGACCAACAGAGTCGGGGATATCTAGATCAACAAGGTCGAGGATATCCACAACAACAGAATCCTGGATACCCAGATTCAGCATTACCCAGACCAACAGGGTCGGGGATATACGGAACA